TAGAAATCGCGCAGCGACGAGGTATGCCCGATGCCTTAAACACTCTATTAAAGCATGCAATGAGTGGGTCCTATCACATACAGCAGCTACAATATATGCAACCATTTATGCTTGAATTCTGGCCAAGCAAGTGGGAGCAATGAACTTGCCTTGCGTGCGAAAGATCGCTGTTAATATACGAGCAAAAGTCATTATGCGAAATATTTTTTGTGGAGTTTTGATGAGAAAAGATGAGCGAAGACCTTAGAAAAACGGACACTGGCTTTGCACCAAAAATTTTCGAAAAAATGTTGATAAAATTTCCCAGATAAGCTTCAGTATATTTTATACCTTTAACAGCTTCAGCGTAGCGCTCTTAGCTGGATCGAAATGCTTATCGCCGGACGGCATAGGAATCGGCGTTGAACCACCACCGATTTGCTGTCTGTACTGCTCCTCAGCAGTTTCCCTGGAAGCATTTTTCATTTCTCAAAAGATTTGTGATTGATTTGCAAACTATAAGTGGGGATCAAAATATTAGTAGCAAACTTAACGTATGTAAGCTTTGTTACATTGACAAGAGCTGTACTTACATCATCAGACTTTGACACTAGAAGGATTGATAAGAATGCGTATAACATTGAAAATTTTTCCAAGACAGCTTGAGAGCTTGTCTGCGTCAAACAACGAATGGAAAATGCCTTGTTGTTATGATTTTAAGTAGGTCCAACCCCATCAAAGTTTATTGTTATGACTTTCTTCGGTATTTAGCGAGGGAAAAGCCGTTTACAACCTAAGAAATCTCAAGGAACTCGTCAGCAGCAGTTGGTAATGGCACATGTAGCAGATTGCATCAGTGGATATTATTCAGCTCATGAGAGCAATTTCGCTACATAAGCTCATCATTATGCAAACCTCATACTTCGCCTTTCATGAAAGAATTGGTTGCAGGAAAGAGTCTGCAAAGTATATCTCTCTATCAAAGGTTTATGAATTAATAATCATAGGCTGTTCACACATCGGTTTACGTAACACGACACCATCGAGCAGATGTCTCTCCAGCACTGTGCATGACAAGTGTAAGAATTTCTACTTCCTTGGACTCAACCGATTCTTGATATATAACAGTGCACTTTCTGGTAAGGTAT